GGGAGAGAGAGAAAGAGAGAGAGAGAGAGAGAGAGAGAGAAAGAGAGAGAGAGAGAGAGAGAGAGAAGTGGCAAATGGCAAGTGAGCTGTGGCATTCCATTGAAAAGAGCGGGCCCAGAGAGAAATGGTGGGATGAAGATTATGATTCTGGCATACCTATAAGACTCCAATTGGCACAACAAAACCAGTCTTTCCTCCAGGCAACAGAAAAAGAGCTTCCTCGTCTGGTGCTTGTCTTAGGATACAGCACAGCAGAAGGTAGAGGCCAATCGAATCTTCTTTGGTTGTTCCAGCAGGTGCAGGGGCAGCATGAATCTTACGCCCGAGGGGAACAAACTGTGCATTTTCTGGGTCAGAATTCAGAAGTTAGAATTCTGGAGAAGAGATGATAATGGTCTGTATAATTTATATTGTCATCGCCAAGGAAGCAGCGGCATCTGTGCTCCAAAGGACTCAAGCATAGCTGGCCTGCTGTTTGCCTCCCGGATCTCTGTGCTGATTGAAAGGTCATGTGTTTCTGGATGTTTGGACATGTATTACCCAGTTGTTTGTTTGTTTCTATCTTCCCTATAAACAGTTTGGTTTCCTTCTGGGGAAAAGAAATAATGTGAACAGAGCAAACACACACGTTCTCAAAAATGCCCTGCTCCAGTGTCCAATAAAGCCAGGTTTTTCTAGGGCAAAAAGAATCTTAAAGAGGAAGATCCGAGCTTTTCTTATAGTTTTAGCTCATGCTGAGACTGTATAATATGCATACATATATATGCATATCATGTATATGCATATATATGTGTGTCTGTGTATATATATAATATATATGTATATATGTATACCAGCTCTTTGGTTACTTGGCAGTGTTAAAAATGGATTTTCTGGTTTATAATGAAAGAAGGAATTGTAGTGAATTCCATCTTGTCTAGGATTCTTACCAATTCTGTAAAATTCACCTATGTCAGGACTGCCTTATTCCAGTCAATATCATTTTATTCCTATTCTATATATTGGCGGTGCACTTACTCTATGCCTTTTATGCCGGGCTGGGGCACCAGAGCCTCATTTGCTGATCTTGATACCTGGCATGCTCTTTTTCTTCAAGCTTTTTGCTTGACTAGATCTTTCTAGGCCTCAGGTCTCAGTTGAAAGGTCACCTCTTCAGAGAAACTTTCCCTGACTTCTTTCAGATATAGTCACCCCTCCTCCTCCTTCAAAATTAACATCAAACTCATGGTCTTATTTCGGGTTTTGTTTACTCATTTGCTGCATGGTTCCCTCCCTAGAAATAAGATCCCTGAGACAGTGACCCTCATTTGCTCACTACGAATTCCTCAGTGGCATATAGGAAGCACTTAAACATTTGAGTGAATGAATGAATGAATGAACAAATGAATGAATGCTCAAGTGACAAGTTTACTCTACCTATTGGAGACCCCATCTCTTTTGGCCTTTTCTCCCCCCATTGTAAAATAATGATAAAGACAACCAACTTGGAAACAAGAGATTCAAATGGAAGTAAAGGTTCCCTTTACAGGGACATCTGAAGACAAGCTCTGTGTTGAGCAGAGCTTGGAGAGGCCATCGAGAGACCCAGGGATGGGGAGTCCCATGGGGCCAGATAGCTGAGAGGGCCTCAGAAAACTCCTTGGGGCTCTCCACTCACCTGGCGTCTCCAGTTCTACATGTCAAGTCTAATAGACAAATTGAATCTTGGATCTCTAGTGATATTTATGCCTCCAAGTTCAACCTACATATTAACATGTGATTTTTCAGACTTAAAATTTTACCTAGACCCCAGAATCACCAAGACCTTTTAATTATATGAGCAGATACACGGAGATGTTTCAAAGTTATTTGTAATTGGAAACATAAGCCATAGGGAATAAAGCCAGGTAAATGTATTCAGGATTGAAACACATGATGCATAACTATAAAATAATGCAATGGACACACACACACACACACACACATCCCAGAATGCATGCTTCCAAAAGAGTACAGTAACCACCTTGTGTATCTCCACACTTGCCCAACCATTATTCTACTCATCAAACCACATTTGGATCTCCCTGTTCCAAGTTGCCATGAGAAAATTAAGACACTGGTTAAAACATTGCCTCGCGTGGTAAATTTTATCCATGTGGTGCTGTTTGATTTTTGAAAATAACTAAACAGAAATTCAGAGCATGCCTTGGGGGAGCAACCAAGTGGGTAATTCCTGGTGTTTTTCCGAAGTAATAAAGCCTGCTTTTCTTGTCTGGTTCAGAAAATAGCTTTTAAGGCAATAATCAAAAGTGAAATTCAAAAGATGTTTCACTAGTAGCATCACTGAAACAAGCATATAATTTCCCAAGGTAGGAAATCTTGAAAGACAGCATTCTTTTGGATCTATAACATGTAATATGTTTATTTAAAAATTCTACATGATTACTTCAGAACAACCTTTTTTTTAAGATTTTTTTATTCATTCATACAAGAACTGGGATGTTAGCCAGTGGTACGGGGAGGGGTGTGTGTGAGGATTCACCAGAGATAGTGGGGAGCAGAACAGGCAGATCTACTGAAATACACTGCTGAGCGGGCAAGGCAGGAGAGATCTGCTGCGCCATGTGGGTTGCTCCCTGGCCAGCCAGAATTGAATTCATGTTGCAGTGCCTGGCAATAGCTGATAGCACAGTCTTTAACCCCTGTGCCACCAGGGAGGCCCTTCAGAACAACCTTATGCAAGAAAAGCAGCTTATAAATGTGTAGAACCAACTTCTAAATAGCTATGTGTTATATTAAAGGGCTGTATGTTCCCATTCTGTTATCTAAATGAGAAATTAAAATACAATGCCTGTTGCTTTTGAATCAATCATAAGCAAAATCAAATGAATAGGAGAAATTATGTTGTAAACATAATTAATCACTTGCTTTATAAAAGTCATAGGGCTCTATAATTATAACTTTGTTTTTGAATACTTTTCTAAAAAAAAATAATGCATGCTCAAAGTAGAGAAATTGGAAAACAGTAAGCTTAACTAATAAGTAACAAACACCCATAATCCTATCATCTATAAATAATCAAGGTAAATGGCATATAATCTTCCAGATCTTTAATTAGTGTGCACGTGTGTGTGTGTGTGTGTGTGTGTAAGGGTGGGCACCTATTCTGGCACTTACTAATTGTGGGGGCACTTACTGTGGGACTTTCAGCAAGGCACTCTGTGTTTCCTTGATGTTTCTATCTTCTGTAGAATGGAGATAATAATGATTGCTTTGTGAATTGTTGTAATGATTAAATGCCATCAAAAACACTGAGCTTATTTATAACTTAGTGTCTGATACATAGTACTCAACTTAATTACTGCCACTATATTATTATTTTTTTAATTTAAATTTTATTTTTATATTCCCCATACAATTACAACCCCCTTATTTTTACCCTAATCCCTCCTTTCCCCGCCCCCAACAACAAATGTTGGTGAGGTTGTGGAGAAAAAGGAACTCTCTTGCACTGTTGGTGGGAGTGCAAACTGGTCCAACCACTATGGAGAGCTGTGTGGAGATTTCTTGACCTACTAAACATAGAGCTTCCATATGATCCAGCCATTCCACTCCTAGGTATTATTATTATTATTATTATTATTATGAAACTAGGAGGAATGCACCTGTTATCACTGAAAATTATACTTTGAATATTTTCCTTGACATCATTTTAAATTCTGTTACAAAGCAGAGTTAAAACTTGGAGTTGTTCAAGGAAAAAAAAAGATAACATAAACATCTGGGAGCATATCAAACTAAAAAGCTTCTGTACAGTGAAAGAAATGATAACTGGGCCTCCCCGGTGGCGCAGCGGTTGAGCTCTGGGTTGCGAAGCTGCCCGCGGCCTCTGTGGCGCCGGTTCGATCCCCGGCTGCTCCCAGGCCACTGAAGGAGGGTCCCACATGGCTCGCAGACCTCTCCTGCCGCCCGCTGCTCCCCTCAGCAGTGTACTTCGGTCCTTCTACCTGCTCTGCTCCCAGCTCTGGCTCTGGTGAATTCTCTCACCCTCCCGCGCTTCTGACTGTACCCAGTGCATGTATAAACAAACAAACAAACAAAAAACCAAATAAATAAATAAAATAAAACATGCCTCTAGAAAATAAAAAAAAAAGAAATGATAACTAATATGAAAAGGCACCCTACTGAATGGGAGAAAATATTTGCACATTGCACATCTGACAACAGACTGATATCAAAGATACACAAAGAACTCACAAAACTCTACAAAAACAAAACAATACAATCAAAAAATGAACAAAAGAACTAAACAGACACTTCTCCAAAGAAGACATTAAAATATCCAGCAAACATATGAAAAACTATTCACAATCACTTACTACTAAAGAAATGCAAATCAAGACGACAATGAGATACCATCTCACACTTGTGAGAGTGGCCCATATCAAAAAGACAGCAAGTGCTGGCAAGGATGTGGAGAAAAGGTTACCTTCCTTCAGTGCTGGTGGGAATACAGTCTGGTCCAGCCCTTATGTAAGTGTCTCCTATATTCCAATAATTTATAGGATCTCCAATTTGATCCAGCAATTCCATTCCTTAACATCTATCCAAAATATTCAAAAACATTAATTTGAAAGGCAAAATGCACTCCTGTGTTTATTGCAATTTAACCTTAGTGCCCCCAAACAGATGGGTGGATCAAGAAGATGCAGTATGTATACATCGTGGAATACTACTCAGCAATCAAAAAAGATAAACTCATGCCACTTGTGGCAACATGAATGGCACTTGAAAGGATAATACTGAGTAAAATAAGTCAGAACGAGTAAAATAATTACTGGATGGTGTCACTAGTATGTGGAATATGAAGTAATTAGATTAATAGATAAAGACAAACTGAAAAATTATCCCTTGACGGCTGACTATAAAACTGAAGCACCAAGGTGGGGAGAGGTTGCAAGAGGGGTAAGAACAAAAAAGGGGCACCCAGATTGGGGCAAGATGGCGGCCTCACAGTGACCAACTGTCAAGGGATGAAAATAGGTTCTTGATTCACCATGGCACTAGCAGCAGTAAAATGGGCCATATCAAACAGAACTATCTTGAAACATTTATTTTCAATTCAAAACAGAGCTTTATATTGTTTTCATCATAAGTCTACATATTCTTCTCTTCCAGATGACTATAATTGCAAAGTAGAGCTTGCTTTGACATCTGACAACAGGACAATAGTATGCTACCACCCATGTGTGGACATTCCATATGAACACACAAAACCTATCCCTCGACCAGGCCCTGTACATAATAATGAAGAAACACATGATCAAGTACTAAAATCCAGATTAGAAGAAAAAGGTGAACACTGTGAGCAAGGACCCATGATAGAACAACTTAGCAAAACGTTCTTTACTACTAAGCACCCGTTGGTATCCTCGTGGATAGTATCATAGACATCGTAAGAAACTGGACCTTCCAAAAGACAGATAATATCAAAGTTCTCAAGAGTTAAAGAAATGTTATCTTATGTCTCATTTTCCATTTTGAAAATGCAATCTGGCATATTAACAAATTTATAGTGAAATAATAAAATATCTTTATTAGGATGCATAAAAAAAAAGAATGGAAAGGAAGGACGCACAATGGTCTATGGTGGTGGAATGTGGGTGAGTTGGTGGGTGCACTATAGTGGTAATACCTGATGGTGGTATCCCAATATTACCTCAGTTAAAAATAAATTAATTTAAAAAATAATTCAGAGCTATTCATCTGTTACTGAAAATTGCCCTCATGTTGGCAAATAGAAAAATGTTGTGGCCTGCTAGGAAATGTCAAAGCCAGAGATGTCAGAACCAAGGGAATGAACATCCCTGATAGTGGGCGTAGGCATAAAAATATATTAAACGTATATTTATGAACTTGGGTCTAGTCCAGTGGTTCTTAACTGGAGGCAATTTTACCCCAAAAAGACAACTGGCAATGATTAGAGACATTTGTCACAATTTAGGGAGAGAAGGGGAGTTACTAACATCTAGTGGCTAGAGACCAGGCATGCTGTTTGACATTCTACATTGCATAGAACTCCCCTACAGCAAAGCAGTATCTGGCCGGGCCTCCCTGATGGTGCAGGGTTTAAGTCTCGCTGCTATTGAGCTATCACCAGTCACTGAAGCACTAGTTCCATCCCCGCCAGGGAGCTCCCCACATGGCACAGCAGACCTCTCCTGTCTCGCCCATTGCTGGGCGAGTATATTTGAAACTAGGAGGAATGCACCTGTTATCACTGAAAATTATACTTTGAATATTTTCCTCGACATCATTTTAAATTCTATTACAAAGCAGAGTTAAAACTTGGAGTTTTAACCCCAGTTCTTGTATGCATAAATAAATAAAAATAAAAAATAAGAAAAAAAAACAGTATCTGGCCATTTAAATGCTAGAAGAGCTAAAGTTGAGAAACCCTAACTAGTTATGCAAACTCAAACAAGTCACTTTCCTTAATGATGATGCCTCACATTTGTTAAGCACAGATGCCAAAAACTTTGCTTAACAGTTCATGTGAATTATTCTCCTTTAATCTTCCCAACAGTCCAACCATGCAGACTCTGCGATCATCCACACTTTATCAGTGAAGATATGGGTCCACCATTCTGGGACCCTTGCAGGCTGGCCAGCATCCAACCGGCACTGCAGAGGCTGCAGACAGCTTCACAGTGCGGTGCTTAACCACCTGCGCCACCAGGGAGGCCCTCCACCATTTTCTTTTTTTTAAAGTTTTATTTATTTATTTGTTTGTTTGTTTTTGTTTACACAAGAGCCAGGGTACAGGCCAGATTTGCAGGAGGGTGAGAAGATTCACCAGAGACAGAGTGGGGAACAAAACAGGCAGACTAACGAAATACACTGCTGAGGGGAGCATCAGGCGCCACAGGAGAGGTCTGCTGTGCCATGTGCGATTCTCCCCAGCCAGCAGGGATCAAACCCACACTGCAGAGGCTGTGGACAGCTTCACAGCACTGTGCTCAACCACCTGCGCCACCAGGGGAGGCCTTCCACCATTCTCAATCTTTGCCCCAAGCCACACAACTAACAAGAGGCCTGTCTCCAGTATGAGCTCACATCACTTCATTCTGGAGCCTTCCCTCTTTTCCAACACTCTTCTGCCTTGCTCTAAACTTCCCATGTCTCAGGTGTTTATAGAGATATATTATGATTTATTGGCAGAGATTCCATCTCATATGCCATTTCTTTTGCATTTTAGCAGAAGCCTGGGATACTATGTCAAGAAAGATTGCGTGACCATGGATGACTCTAACAGAAAGAAAGTTGTCATGGATTACTGATGTCTGCTACTGGCAAGGGAGGGAAGAGGGTGGAATTTGTGCCATACAATCGATACCTTTAGACTAAATTATCTTATGTAATGTCTTTCCAGGAGCCAAATACCTATGTCCCTATGTTCTATCCACACCCCCACCCCACAAACAGCCTCAATTCTTGGACAAGAGCCACGTGCTGAGTTGTGTACATCAAAGAGAACCAACGACTGAGTAGTCTATTGCAAGGACTTTATTCAACACATAGTTTTCCCTGGTTACAGGGAACTGCTGAAAACTCTCAGGTTCTAGCCTACATAAGGCAGAAAACATCAAAGTTTGTAAAAATCACAGCACACCTCCATCCAGAGTCAAAGCCAAGTACAAACTTTAGCGGTTGGACTGATTTCATAAAATAATCTCAGTGACTTCAGTTTAAAAAAAAAAAAAAAAACAGCAATGGCTATGAACTTTAGGGAGGCCAAATAATAATCTACTACATTTTTTAAAAATTATGCAATGTTTAGCAAACTGAGATCACTGGAGGAAAAAAAGAAAAGAAAAAGAAGCACAAACTTTACTAAACAAAGTCACATACCAACGAACATTTAAACCACTGTAACTGAGATAAACTGAAGCTTGTTTTTAGTTACAAAGATCTGAGGGATGGGGTGGGAAATAAACAAAAATCCAAGGGGGGAAATCATTAATAAGATACTTTGAGCTATTTTCCCACAAGTCATTTCTTTAAAAAAAAAAAAAAAAAGAAGAGGGGGAGCTATAATCTGTGTTTTAAAAACCAATGTCCTGCATTCTTATCCATATAAAACCTCTTTGCAAGCAGTCAAGCAAAAAACTGAAATTCCATTGTCATAACACTATGTCTGTGGGGCACCACTTCAGAATAGCTTCCAAAAAAAAAAAAAAAGCTGGGTAATTAATGTAGGACTCTGTAATGAATAGGGAAAGAAAATTAACAAAATTAAGCCTAACCATAAAGAACCAAAATCTGAATTTATAACTGTGTAGTGTATCATTTAAAGGACTTCCTGTTTACTAACAACAAATGCACACATGTGCACGCACACTAACCCCCCCACCCACAAGATTTTCCAGGAAGTTAGATATTTAAATAAAACAACATTTGGACTTCTTTAGTAAAAGGAACATAATTTCTTCCTAAATCACCTCTATCATTGATGGATGAAGTGGTACAGCTTTTATTACAAGAGAGGAAAACTGATTCTAAGAGATCACATTTCTATCTGCCTGAAAGATTTTAAGACAGATGGCGATAAAAACAATATATAGTACATATTTTTTCTTATGAAATAAGCTATTTTTTATCAAATCATCTTACAAGCAAAATAATCCATCACTGTAACACAAAAGCAAATCAGTATTGAAAACTCTACTTAAGTAAGATGAATTTTGCTAATGTTGAGCTTAAGGCAACTCAGCAAGAACTGACAACCCTGGACTAAATTATTTACATTCACGATGTCTTAGCTGTGTCTACAAGGCACCAAAACATTGTGATGAAAAGTGAAAGTCAGTAATTGCTCAGATATTATGTCTAGTCACCAACAGCTGGAATTTCCTCAGTATTGGCTCTCTCCTCCAAAGCATTCTTAAAAGTTCGCTAAAGGGCTTTCCTCTTTGTCGTCTCACACTCCCCTGGCCTTCATCAGCGACTAGTAACTGTGGAGGCCTCCACATGCCACATTTGGTAACTCGCTTCAGCTGGGCTGTTCATAGCCTTATATGTTGACAGCTAATGATGTACTTGAATAGGACAAAATTCTTGTGTCTGGGAACTTTCTTAATAACGGAGTGATTTTTTTTTTTTTCTGTTCAGTCAATAGCTGTGACTCTCATGATTGTTCTAAGAGCTGGAGGAAAAGAAACCACTTGGCTATCCATACCTTTTCCTTTTCCTCCATTTGCTCCTTCCACCTTAACCTAGTGAAATGACTTCTCTCGTACTTCAGGGTTGCTCTTGCTTGAGTTCCACATCTTTCTCAGCCGGGAGGTACAGTGAAAGCTCCAATTCCCTTCCACCTTTTCCCAAGTCTTCCTTCAATGATTTATTTCCTTGAGGCCTCCCTGGTGGTGCAAGGGGTTAAGATGCAGCACTACGAAGCTATCCACAGTCGCTGCAGCACGAGTTCGATCCCCGGCCAGGGAGGTGACCCTCATGGCGCAGCAGACCTCTCCTGTTGCTCCCGCTGCTCCCCTCAGCAGTGTATTTCAGTAGATCTACCTGTTCTGCTCCCCACTCTGTCTCTGGTGAATCCTCTCACCCCTGCATCTCTGCTCTGCACCCCAGCTCCAGTATGCATAAATAAATAAATCTTTCAAAAAAAATTTTAAAAATTATTTATTTCCTTGTTTATTTATTTCCAACCACACTGAAGCCCCCTTTTCCTAATCTCTATGACTGGGATGGGGGAGGGGCGGGAATCAAAGGAAAGCATGGTTAAGACAAAGTACATTTGTAGTCACAGCATCCTGGGATTTAATACTGGCCTGGTTCTACTAATATGGCTTGTGTGATAATTGGCTTCTGGGAACCTACTTAGGTAGGCTTCATCCCCTTGCCAGTCTTCAGTTTCCACATCTGTGTAATGGATATCTCCATAGTGTACTAATCCATTGAAGCCAGATTTAAATAAAAGCTGCTTATTTCTCACAGTTTTGGAAGCCAGAGATCCAAGATCAAAGTGTCAGCAGGGATAGTATCTCCTAAGGCTTCTCTCCCTGGCATGCTGATGTCCACCTTCTCAAAATGTTCTCACAAGCCTTTTCCTCCATGAAGGTGGTGCATAGGAGCTTCCTGTTGCCTCTCAATCTTCTTGTATGGACACAAGCTGTATACTTAGGGTCTCAAACTTAATTACCTCCCAATAGATGATATTTCCAAATATAGTCACATTGGGGAATTAGGACTTCGGCATATGAAAGTAGAAGGACACCATGCAGTCTCTAACAAAGAGTATTCCTGCTTTCTCGAGTTATTTGGGGACTGTGCTAGTTTACATTCTCTGAGCAGCAGAACACCTGAGAAGGAATCAGGGTACTGAAGAAGGTTACAAGAGCTGATCTTCCAAAAGCAGGTCTGCCTCACTGCCTGGGGA